ATTATATATTAATATATTATATATATAGTAATNTATATTATATATATATATATATATATATATATATATATATATATATATATATATATATATATATATATATATATATATATATATATATATACATATACATATATATATATATATATATGCATATATATATATATATATATAGTATTTGTATACTTGTACGTCGGAATGATACACATATGATAATGTATGTCTTTATATCCGCATCTTTTAAAGATCGCATGTATGGAATTCGTTTTTTCATGTCGGAACAGCTGGTTTCCACGGCCTTTCTAAAAAAAAAAATATTCAATCCTGTTGTGTTCGAAATCAGATATGGAGGATTTGAGCCCACACGACCGTACAATGATGACGACATCCCACCGATTCATTTGGCGGTCCATTACAGGAAGCTTCGGAGTTTGCGAACAATCCTCGAAAGCATAGATCGCATGCGTGATAACAAAACGATTGGTGAGTTCTATATTCGTGTCGCATTTCCATGTGTAGGTTCAAAGCCATTGGCTTGGTCTCGGATACGTTAGTCGAATCTCGCTCCCAACTGAGATGTACGGAGCTTCCATTATTGACTTTCCTGCGAGTGTATCAGAACTTTCTCTCATAGTGTTTGCACACTCTAACTTTGCCACATTACGCTTCCTCTCGACTAGAGTACCGGGATATCAATGAAAACCTTACGCCTCTACAGCTTGCTTGTAGACTAGGTAGGTCAAGTTCAGAGAGTACTAGGCCATTCGCACTATCGTACGCAACGTACACGGCAGATAAGCGTCTTGGTCATCTTGTATCAAAATGTTTTCGACTTCCATGATTAATTTGTGATATTGTAGCTGATATATATGCGTTTCCTAATTGACGATTTGTATCGTTTTGGACATACAGGTTGGGCCGATGGTGTCACACTGTTGCTGAACAATGGTGCCGATACCAAAGCTACCGACAAACGCGGACTGACTCCACGTCAAATTGCTGAAAAGGCCGAAGGGGGCGCTAAGGTCAGTACAATGTACTACAATAGTTAAATACATTTCTCTCGTTAACATACACTCCTTTTCGTGTGCGCTTTTATATCTACAGGCCATTGGTGCTGTATTGGGCGAGTACTTCCCACGCGATACCTTTGGCGTTCTTACAATGCATGTCCCTTGATTGTTCTAGTGCGTGTCGCTCATCGATGAATGGGAGAAAGACAGTGACGACGAGGGTCCCAAAAAGGAGACGGAAGCCGAGAAACGCAAGAAGGAGGTTCTCGCGGCTCAGCAGCAGCAGCGTGCGGTAAACTCTTTCACTATGTAGTGCTGTATAAAAGCTGGTCCAGGTTTCAAATATAGTCTTCTAGATTGTCGCATGTATCTGGGTCCCGATCGTGATCTATGTTTGGACCTCTGCGTGACCACTGTCTCGCATCCATAACTTTTCGGTTCGTTTCCGGGACATCTTTGATCGCGAGAAGTCCAGTGCGGCTGCTAAACTGCAGTTTCTCCGAACCTTTCGTTCTACCACTGAACAGGAAGACTCAAAAGCAAAGGAGAACGCAGATCTCGCTGCTAAAGACGCCTTCTACGATGATCTAGAGAAAACGAAGGAAGTCCAAGAAAGTGCTAGCGCGCTTGCAAAATGGGAGGAGCTCAAGGTATTTTTCATTACACCATGTTGATTACTGTGGTTGATGGATTCCGAAGTCTGTGCGATCACTCCAATTGGCTTAAGAGCAATACTTCAATTAGTAGAATATTTGACATTTTGCCTCAATTGCACAGCGCTGTAGGCCTTCGAGTATGATTGCAATAGTCCTGGAATTTGCTGTGTCTTGCACAGTACTTATTAAGTCAACACTTCTCGCTGAACTAAGGTGGCACTTGCAGACTTGAAGAAAGAAGTTCACATCGATAAGTCAAAGGACGAGGAGAATGGGAAAGCTATCGACCCCACACTGTGGACTTGTGGAACTCTGACGCGTCTGAGTATGACACTGAGCCCTGGAGCACTGACATCCCTGCCTTCGGATATCAGCAAATTGTCCAACCTTAAGGTGTGCCCTCGTATGCCGTTCCCACAATGCATAGCTTGTACAGTTCCGATTACTTTGTACTATATTATTGTATTGTTGACCATCTGAGTGTAACGTTAAACTGTATTTATTTTCTTCTATTGCCACAGGAACTGATCTTGACGCATAACGCTCTGGCTGCACTTCCCGATGAAATTGGCACTCTTGTACACCTGCGTGTATTGGAAGTCGAGCATAACGAGCTCACGAGCCTACCCGACAGTTTGAAGAACTGTACCAAATTAGAGGTACGGAATCGATTTTCTTCTATTTCTTCCCCGTCCATGCTTGTTAATACGTACCAGGTTTAAGTCTATTTCAGAATAGACAGCGCGACATACGTGTCGCCCTGTTTCTCTTCTCGAGTCGTCTCACTTCTTACTCACTCTTTTGTGATTTCCATGTGCACATAGGTTGTGATGCTGTCAAACAACATGTTAGAATCGCTGGCTCCTCTGTGCGGTGCCCCTGATCTTCTCACGCTACAGGCCAACAACAACAACTTGACTCTGCTCGATTTCCCTCTAGGTATCGTGTCTGATGCTTGAAAATTCGGTGTTGCATGGTCGTGTCATTTGTGTTTTGCTATTCCTCGACTGTATGTTATTCTGCGTCCGAACAGAGATATTTCTCAACATCTTCTATTTTGATATACATGTATCGCCCTGCGCTTTCCCACCCTTAGACGGTTGCCCTCGGTTAACTACTTTGCTGGTGGCCCATAATCAGCTGGAGTCCTTGCCCGCTGAGATAGGCACATTATCGTTGTTAAAGAGCTTCGACGCATCCCACAATCAGCTTAAAGAACTCCCCATCGAGATGGGAGGATTGAGCGAGAAGAAGGTACGAACTATACTTGGCTGTTTAGAAGAATACCTTGTCATTTGCTTTTGGGTTCCGCAACAAGCGACCAGGCGGAAGTGTTGTGGTCCTGTGTTCATACAACCGATTTAAGAGGCTATGCAAAAGTGCTTGTGATTCAAGAATTTGTGATTGAATCGCTATATAAGCCAACTATTCTCCTCTCACAATCTGTAGTGTTACTTACAAATTCATATCGCACTCACTTCTCATTCAGATGACTACATTGCAACTAGAGGGTAACGCATTCACCGATCGCAACGTCAAGAAAATCCTGGAGAAGAGCAGACAGCCCGCGAAAGAGCTTTTCATGCACTTGCGAAAGCAGAAAGGGGGAGGCAAAAAGAAGAAATAGTGTGTGCAATCGGTTTGAGCATAACCCCCGCTTGCAACGTAACGAGACGTTGCAGGTTATATTAGTGATTTTCGGCTACTCACAGCAGTGTAGAACGATGGAACAACGCTAGTGCTATAAAAATTGCATACTAAAGTCTGAGGGTACTAAACTGGAGTGCGACACAACTGGAGGCCCACTTAACTTGACACTTCTGTACTGATCTCGGGATACTCATACTTAAATTATTCCCATATTTGCGCGACCAAATTTTGAAGTGCATAGCCACCATTTAAAATTCGCTCCTGGATTATGTGACAGTATTACGGTCACGATTGTTATGTCCTAACAACAACACCATGCCGTAGCAAGCAACACTTGTAATTTAGCTGTATGGCGAGCTTTTGGAGGGCATTTCAACTTTTCGGGATGATATGACAGTTTGAGCGCAGACAGTCGGTGCTTAGCGCAATCGCTCCCGTGCGATAAGCTTGTGTGCACTACTGCCTTGTTTGGCGATACGAAAATCATTGCACGCGATAATAGATCAGCAATGAAAAGAAGCTTGGCCCGTGCCGACAGCAATACTTATAATAATTTCTATTTTTCTTCGTGTATTATGTACATGGGTGTGTGGTGAGCCGTCAAGACGTGCAGTATACGAACTACTCGGCCTTGCGCTTCTTCTTATTACTACTTTTGCCTGATGACTTTTTCCGTTTCTTACTACTCGTGTCTTTATCTTGTACCTCCTCAGTAGCACTTGCTTCTTTTCGGGCTTTTCCTCTCGAGGTTGCTACCTCATTCTCTTGCGTCGCCTTCTCAATATTGGCCGTGAGTTTCTCCTGAAATGCCAATGCATGAAGATGAGACGACATAAAAAGATGAGCAGAAAACTGAAAATATACCAAAGTACATTGCACGATGCCAACTCGCACCACCGGAGCGGTTCGGTGCAATCCAAAAGAAGATAGTATAAAAGACACGGGGCCAACATCGATAGTTGTATTAGAACAAAGTAAAACCGTCAATTTGATAAGTTTGTACAACTAAAAATGTGGAAATTCGAAACACATGCTTACCTTAACCTCGGCTTCAGCATCCGCCAGCCCTCCTCTAATAAAGCGACCGGCCGCCGCCATATCTAACTTGGCTGCATTCTTAGGCGCGGTTGCCTCCTTTAATCTACCCATGTAAGCCTTTACTCTATCAAGCTCTCCCTGTGCGATCAAACCCCGAACAATTCAACTTAATGAGATAATGATAATTTGATAAGAATATATAAGACAAAATACAAATAACTAAACAGAATAAGAGATCTAATTTTCCGTGACTTGCGGACATAGATCAGGTACACTGCCCGAATATCGTTTGAACCTTCATGTCTGATCGATTCGTAGACAAAAAAAACGTAATAGATCATGTTAAACAAACAACATGTATTTAAATTCATCACGTCCGCAATGGAAGCTCTAAAATACCTTGATGGCATGAGTTCGAGGGTCGACACCTGTTGTTGTTAAGTACATCCAAAACATGGATGACGCTGCGTATGCCATAGCTAGCTCCAGTTGCGCTCTTTCTGCCGGAGTCAGTTTAGCTACAACGAAACACAATAAGTATATTCAGAGTCCTTGTTATCGAATGGTCTCGGTGTATAGCACGTGTATGCTAGTATGCCATTCTGCAACAAGAGGGACTGATATGAATGATCTAGGTATTCACACATTTAGATATACATCGAAGGGTACATAAACAGCTTAGTAAGATTGCCAGTGCAGACTGGCATACCAACCTTTGTCTATTACGATAATCCTAAACCGCTACATCTAAGTCACTATACTGAAACGGTGCACTGGCACTGACACAATCATGAAGTATGACGTGTCAGTTTGTACCTACACAAAACAGGCCACGTTGCGCGCACGCATGTATGTCCTTATATACACATACATTCTATAAATAGATCCATACATCCATAGATACATAGATACATAGATACATAGACAAATACAGACATACATACATACATAGACAAATACAGACATACATAC